CGTTAGATGGAATACCACAGGTCATGTTGGGCCGGCCCATAAGGAGTGGCGTTCCGCTCTCAATTGAAAAGCCACTTTAAAGGTGAGAAGTTTTGCCACTGAACTCGCAATTTGCAGAGACTTTCTAGCCCTATAGACACCTCATAGTTTTTTTCTGAAGATTCCGTATTCTAAGCAGAAAATTATCCATCGAACAGCATAGAATTTTATGAAGACGATTTTCACTTTTATTCAAAACTTTGTATAATTAAAAACCCTTCAATTATAGATCAATCCGATACTCTCACTAGCAGTCGGTGTTGCAGCCACGCCTAGCATCACCAATCTGTCATTTTGACGTAACAATTACAGCTGCTCACGGCGGGCATCACCATCACCCTCCATACGCTAATTTTGCAGTCACGCCTACCATCACCATATCGGACCCTTTCAAACGCTACGCACTGTCCACTTCGCAGGCGCTTCGCTCATCCTCAAGAATGAAGTTAAGCTCTTTTGGAGCTGTTTTGTTATGATAACTGCTGTTTAACGCCGCAGTACGCGTTCCGAATGTTATCACAAGAATGCTGAGTTGTGGGCAAAAGTCGTGCCCCAGGCGGGAGTCGAACCCGCACCTCACGCTTTCCGGGCGAGTGCGCTTTCCCGTATGCCACCAGGGCCGCTTTTACCCTCTCAGCTTAACGGCTTATCCCCTGACCTTACAGCACTTACACGTTTAACTTGGGCGTAAGCCGTTAAGCTGAGAGGGTAAAAGCGGCCCTGGTGGCGTAACGGATAGCGCACTCGCCCGGAAAGCGTGAGGTGCGGGTTCGACTCCCGCCTGGGGCACGACTTTTCAGCATTCTTGTGAAGCTAAGATCGTTATCATTAGCCGCACCCAGGAGCGGTCCCCTACACAAGTCTGTTCTGAACTTTTCCCCTAGCAATACCCACCCACCTATAACGCCTTGTAATAAGCTTGACATGAGAATATTAGAATGACTTTTTCAAGGCGCGAATGTTCGCAAAGCCAAATTTATGCGACTGATGAACGCAAAGATAATTCTTACTCGGCTGGCTAGGAGAAGAGGCATGGCACAATAGTGGTGCGTGGATAAGCATAGCAGTCGTATTCGCTGCTCTGGCGAGCATCGCTTATGACTTGAAAGAAGATTCCTCTCGGTCGCAGATGGCGACAATGGACAGCGAGTAGGGCTGCGTTCATACTTTGCGGCAGCGTACGCTAGCGTTTCCAGCGTTCGGCAGCGGCAGTGACAAGGAAAGGATAGATATCGATCTAGCGTTTGCCAGCGTTTCACCAGCGTTTGCTACCGTTTTACTAGCGCGACTAGAGGGTATGAGAGAGTAGGAGAGTAGCGAACGGCTCGATTAAGCGTCGTGGAATTGCGGCGTGTGCAACCGCACCGCACTACTAGACAATACCGTACACTAAATTGGTTAAATTGCATAATGCAATGGTTGAACTGCATAATGCATAATGTAAAGGATGAAACAACGTGGAATCATTTGGGATCTTTCATAAGGATGAGCATGTATGTGTCGGCTGTATTTTCGTAAGAGAACGTTCATAGTAATTCCCAAAAATTTCAAAACCGAACAATTTGCAACAGATCGGCTTCAAAAAAGGATATAGTACCTGCAAAAGAAAACCGTTTACTAGTTCAGTCATTTCGGGTCTGGCTGTCGGAATTATGCAATTTAACCAGTTCAGGGCACGGTATTGCCTAGCAGTTGCGGTTGCACACGCCGCAATTTTCCACGACGCCTAATCGAGCCGTTCGCTACTCTCCTACTCTCCCATACTCTCTAGTCCTCGCCGCTGGCAAACGCTAGTGAAATGCTGGAAACGCTAGGAAACGTTAGGTCGATACCTACAGGGGGGGGGGGCAAAAAAAGTCACTTCGACCGAGTCACATATCAGCAAAGTTTTCGCTGCCCAGACAGAGGACGTGGATACGAGTACCAGGGCGGAAGATACCCAAGATGTTCCTCGATAAGCAGGAGCTGGCTCTCGCCCATCACCTTCATGTACACCAAAATATGAAGTCATCTCCAGTCGCAGCCTGACTGGAGAAGACCTTTGGAATTCATGTCACCTCCAAACAGCTGCGAAACTTCTAGTATGGAGTCACCCATGGATAGCTACCTGGAGACCAGTACTCTCGATCTGGATGACCTCCAACATCGAGCAGCTCCGACAACGTCGCCACGGTCTAGGACATCATCTTCACCACAGTCGCCAAGGCGCGGGGATGGTATGGACCGGACGTACCTGGAATGGAAAGACCAATATTTTCTTCGTGGACCCCGGACTGAAGGTGAGCGCTGGGTTACACTGAGCAGCTCGTGAAGAATATCCCCTCACTGGAGAAACTCTCGCCTACTTGGAATGGAAGGGGGCTGAGTACCTAAAGAAGATGGAATATCCAAGTAGGTCACCTGACCTGAATTCAATAGGGTGGTCTACGGTGGCGGAGAAATCGACTATCTCGCTGATCTCAGGCACCACATCGCGGTCGCGTGCCAGAATCTCTCGATGGCGCTCGTCCAGAAGGCTGTGGCGGAGTGTCATGATAGTATTTAATATGCTCTTTATATGGTGGTAAAAATGTCCGATCAGAATTTAATAAAGTGTAACTTATAGCGCCTCGAAAGTCAATGAAGAAAAGTGACTTTTTTTGGCCCCCCTGTATACATTCCTTGCCCTCGCTATGCTAGCACGCGCTGGAAATGCTAGCGTACGCTGGCGTGCGCTGCCGCAAAGTACGAACGCAGCCTAACCGAAAGTAGCCACGAATATCAACGGTGTCACACGAAGTCTAATGGTGTAATCGCCAGAATAATCAAGTAAAGAAAACGCCGCGCATCGCCGCGTGCGAGTGGGCTGCAAACTTCAATTGCCTTGAACGTCTCCTCTTTCCCCCCACTGAAGCAAATCGCTTAGCAGGGAATTATACGGCACCAATGCCCTTTCTACAAACATTGCATTTACAGCTTTGACAGTCGAACTCAGTGGCCCGACTGCCCTACGCTTTTCCGTATTCCTGACCAGGGAAGCTGCAGTAAGTTCTTCACGACTGAATATTCTCGAGTTACACAGAATTATTTATTGGTTTTCCATCGAAGGTAGTCTCTACTTTTGCCCTGGTGCGGTGAACGGCCCTTTTCGAAAAGAACGGTGCAGGTTTGTCTAGAAGCAATGGTGAAGTCGAAAAATGTGTCTCGTTTCCCTTTGGGTAAATTTCAAAGATGGACATTTTTGACAAAAAACTTCTGCTTCTCTTTTTCTGTTGTTCGGACATATTTTCGCAACATGTGGATGGATGAAACATGACTATTTTTAGGCTTCCTCAAGTTACCGATATATAATGAGAGCACTTCAACATGTTCACTCACCTCAGTTGGGGAACATTTTGATTGGGTTAGGCAGAATGGCACTAATTATCCCTTACTGACACATTTTCGAAGTTTTAGGTCAGATTTTTGTAATCTGGAAAGTCGCCTCTAAGGAAAGTTTGAGTCTCCGAACACGTATATCAGATTCGCTTGCCCGAAAACGCATGGCGCCGGAACTGCAGGTGCTGAAACCAAAGTCCTACTGCTTCTTTGCAAACAACGGACCTGGCTCAAACTATGCTCCCTGGAGAGCTTTCTCCCAATCACACAGAGGACTGGTCTATTCAGCTCTTCGTAGAAACTACCTTCAATGGTGAAAACATTTCCAACTGCAAGTTCATGATTCCGCTGTTGTTTCTCGGTCAATGGCACGCAAAACTTCTTTTCGACCACCTCACTTACCAGGGAGGTCGTTCAGGACGTGGAGCGCTTTTTGAAAACGGTTTTTTGCATGATGTGGGGTCACGTGCATGGAGTACCAAACTGTCTGGGAATACCAAAAAAGGAGTGAAAAAGAAGTCCATGGAAACCGACTGTTTTTGAGCCTCAGTGGGCTCTAAATCCCTTGCAACTTTGACTATTTTCTGAGTGGAGGGTCCTTATAAAGGTACTATAGGAATCGAGGAGGAAAATAGTCGCAAATGGGGTCTTACTCGAGGCACGTGATGAGCGGCTCTGAGCGGCTCGTCAGAATGATTTCTTCAACGATCGAGCGGTGTTCAGCTACAACGATCGGATGGCCTAGTGGATAGCGTGGAGGATTCTCAATCGGACAGTGAGGGTGGGGTTGATGGTTCGACTCCCCTCGCTTGCGAGTTTTTGCATTTTTTATGTTCCGCTGTTCTCGCTTCCATATATGTCTGTTTATGAATTTTACGCGGATAGCTACCATTTATAGGCACATTCTAAATAGTTATACCCCATTAGTTGGTGCTATTCAACAATTTCGATTTTCGAATACCATTAGAAGCTATCCGCTTAAAATTCATAAACAGACACATATGGAAGCGAGAACAGCGGAACATAAAAAAATGCAAAAACTCGCAAGCGGAGGGAGTCGAACCATGAACCCCCACCCTCACTGTCCGCTTGAGAATCCTCCACGCTATCCACTAGGCCATCCGATCGTTGTAGCTGAACACCGCTCCAATCGTTGAAGAAACATTCTGACGAGCCGCTCAGAGCCGCTCACTCTTAATCACGTGCCTCTAAGAATTTTCCCCCTCGATTCCTATAGTACCTTTATAAGGACCCTCCACTCAGCAAATAGGTCAAAGTTGCAAGGGATTTAGAGCCCACTGAGGCTCAAAAACAGTCGGTTTCCATGGACTTCTTTTTCACTCCTTTTTTGGTATTCCCAGAGGCGTTCAGGAAAAATGAACATCAGTTTGGTACTCCATGTACGTGACCCGCATCATGCAAAAAACGCGCCACTTCCTGAACGACCACCTCACTTAGTAGTGATAGCTGCTTTTACTCATAGATAGAATGACTAGCGTACAGAGTGATGGCCAGGATAATGTAACCTCCAATAATCTACGTGAAGTGGGAAATAATGAGGAACATCCTCAGAATCGAGCTGGGCCATCTCGGCGGCTGCTGTGATGTCGGATCGCCTTTGCATAGCTACCAATGGAACCGTGAAGGTAGTGCAATTCAAGCTAGTAAAAGATCATGCGGCTTTAAATTTTATCAACAAATTTTCAGGTAACTCTCTCTGCAGACGACATCATGACATGCTGCACAATTTGTAGTCTCGGCTTCGGTAGTGGGTGAGATTTCGTGCTTGAGGACCTAAAGATAGCAATACCTTGGCTAGGCGGTATAGCATTACCCCTCTGTCATTCCCAAATGGGCAGTGAGCGCTAATAAGACCCAAAGGAAAGCTAGCTCCGAACGCTCATTTGGGACAGGGAACCAGTTACGCACACACGCATCTCAAGGGCCGTGTTCTGAGCTCTAAATGCGCTCCTCACAGACAAACGTTTGAGCTCCACCTAGTTCGAATCCTGACCTTATTGTTCCGAGAGGGGTGTTTCCCATCATGTCGTCAACGTCAACTGTCCCTCTTATTAAGATTTTACAAAATTTTTGAAGTCTTTCTGTGACTGAAGCTTCATGCATATGGCGTACAACCTTGTGATGAACATCCTTCAAAGAGTTCAAGAGACTTCATTTCAAGATATTATTTCATGTTCTGATGTTTAGGTGTGATGGAGGTTCTATTTATGACGCTTTCAAGTACTTTGTAAGCGAAGGTGTTGTCACGGGAGGAGACTATGGCAGTATGGTAGGGCTATGATTTCTTACTGATGAGGTTTTCTGCGTACATTATGCGTACATTATTATGCGTACACCATTTTTCTGCAGTATGGCTGTCGTCCATATGAGATCGAACCAGATATTTCTCAACTGAATAAGAATTCATACAAAACTTCAATCCTCTCGAGTACTCCGCCATGCCGACAGGCCTGCCAACTAGGTTTCGGAAAATGTTATGACGAGGACAAATATTACGGTGGGCACATAGTCAGCTGTACTGGTTCCGAAGAATTCATTCTAAATACGATCGATAGATAGAGGAATCCGCTTCGTAATTTAATGAAATATCTATGGTTGATTAAGCGTTAGTTTTGCAAGTCGTAAGGCGCAGCCATGCTGGGATGAGGGCGAGACGGTTGGTGGTTGCGACGACTGGTTGCGACGACCGGGGGACGACTCCTAGGCAGGGCACGCCATCGTTGTGATCATCACAACAGGGGGGTCGTATTTGACCTCGAGGGGGAGGGGGTCGTAAGCGCGGGGACCTTTCTGAAGTGAGGGTGCAGCGATACTCAGATGTCGTTCAGCTTCAATGATGAAAGACTTATCCATGTGAAGAACCCTGAAGAGACCCACACAAGACAGAAGCAACCTGCCAGCGCAGAAGTGGGGAACGGGCGATGACAGGAAATACGATGGTCGCCCACAACGACGTCATGAATTAATAAAAAAATAAAGGATAAAGTCTCCGCCGTTGATCAACCCCTTTGTGGGATGCGGCACGCATTCTACTTCCATTCAGAATCGTAGTGGCTTATTGAATGCGATGTGGCCTATACAATGACTTGCGGTGGCCGATGTACAAGTCAGTGTTTTATCCTCCCAGACGAATCTGGTACCATATTTACCAGATTCGTCTGGGAGGACATATATATTACCGTCCCCGGAGGAAAGAAGGCTTGGTTGGCCTAGGCGAGAGTCGACCCGGGATTTGAACCCGGCACCGCGCGAGTGGTAAGCGCGCCACTTGTCACTACACCACCTCCGCGCCAATGAATATCCGCTATGAACTAGTAAACAGATGAAAATACTTTTCCGGACCTTTTATCGCAGAAGCACATCTACTTGCACGGAGGAAGCCCTTTCTAGAAGTTGCACCTTCCCAATAGCTCTGCGTGAAAGCGCTATGCATGGCGCATTGCAGAGGTGATGCCAATTGGCGTCCAATGAACTATTTCCTGGTATCCTTGGCAAAAACATGCGTTTTAGAAGCATACCAATGTCTTAAAGCCAACTGGAGATTTTCTGGCGTCGGAGGGGTTGATTTTTCGGGCCGTGGGGGAGTGATTAGGAGTAGGAGTGAGTAGGACATTATGGTCATCTGCGCTTTGCTAAGACTGAGCCTGGCCTGAGGGAAATCTTCCCTTTTTCTCAGTTTCAGCCTCAGCAGAGTGCCAAATAGCGCTGGTATGGAAAATGATGTCACACTCGTGATCAGGACATCGAATAACATCTATAGACAAAGTTTCAGCATAAATTTTTTTGAGTTTTTGGCGTAGGAATAGTTCAATAGCGCCCAGTTCTCTTTATTGTCATTTTCTTCGTCCCTTTTGCGCTTCTTTTCATTTGTATACCTCGAAATCCCTGAGATCGGATAGGCGTGGCCGCATCCTTCAATTTTGGTGTCTATGCTTCTGGTGAGGTATTTATTTGTCCAACATAGAACAAGATGACAGTTTTCCCAGACTAGAATATCCCACGAGTAAGTCAGTCTATGCCGTATTCAAATGCCACGCCTACCCCATCTCAGGGATAACGAGTGTATCCTCGTGACAGAGGGGCCCTTATTTGGGGGGGGGTCGTAATTAGCGGGAAATGATCACAACGCGATGGCTTGCCCTGCTCCTAGGGAAGGCGTGAATGCCTGAGGGACATTCTCCTGAGACTGATCACCCCAGCTCACTCCAACAGCCTCGTCAGCATTCCACCGAGATTTATCCTATAACGAAAAATGGATAAAAGAGATGTTGGCTCAGAACTGGAAACGGCTCCCTCTCATCAATCGTACAATGAAAGAGCCAGTTGTAAATCATCACGTAGTCATTTTGAGCTTTGTGATCTTCTGGGTAGTTCAATCCCGTTCCGTTGCTCAGCTTCGTGGACGAGCACATCTGATTTCTGTGAACAACAAAGATTTGCAGGAATAGACGCCTTCAAACTACCAGCATCCCAGAGTGCTATTCAGAGAGAAATCATGAAGAATGGACCGGTGGTCGCCATTTTCAACGCTTACCAGGACTTCTCCTACTACGCCGGAGGAATCTATAAGGTGAGATCTTGAACTAATGGTGAACATGCAGTTTGCCCTGGCTTCGCTCCATCTGACTGTTGTAGAACTAAATCCATTGATTCCGTGACGAATTTGACTCAGAAGTGAAAACCAGATCAGAAACAGTAACTGCTCACCAAGTGACGCTCCTTACTCCTTGAACGGTCACCTCTTGCAGCGCACGATCTTTGATGTCAAGGTCCTACCACTATAGCCGTAGCCAGTCACCATCTTGCTCTTCGTAGGTCGGTATGGAGATCACGGCTCAGGGGGTCACTCCGCT